TAAAGAGTTAAACTTACAGACTATAAGTCTCCTACTTTCAGATGTCCAAATAGTAACTTGAGCATGGTCAGGAATGCATAGTTATATAAGGAAGAAAAAGATGGAAACCAAGAGTCGTCACAATTTGACAATAAATTTGAACTGGAAAACAATCCTATAAACAATGTCATAAATACCTGTGAATCAATGCTTGTCAGCATGTTATTTGTGCACATTGGGATTTCATTATTCAGCTAGCCATGAATAAAACTCTATCCTAAGCTAGTGGTTATTTCCCTGCACTTTCCATTATCAAAGACTGTTGGAATTAAACTGGTGCAGAGTTAATAATGTATGCTGTTTTAGTTATCACTTCTCTTCAGAGCTGCACCAGCAGTGTCTGGGGAACATAAACAGCAGTAGATTCAAAGTACCCATAATTATTAATGCACATTACTAAATTGACCTTAGTGAAAAAAAAAATGGAGTAAAAGTTCTCCTATTAATTAATTTTATCAAATGCTTTTGTAACTTGTTTGTATAGAATGGAGATAAGGCAAGCACTGCAGAGCTGCACTTAGGGTGGTAAATGATGGATGAAGTACAGTTAGCAATTGGGGCACTGCATTTTTACATGTACTCTTACGAATACTACAGTTACTAGGTGCTGATGTCTTAAGAAAATTGGTTAAAATGTTCTAAAAATGTTTAAAAACTATAGTAATTAAAATTACTTATTTCTTTATTACAGTCTGCAAGTGAGTGTTCTGCTCTGGTGGTCAGGAACTTGTGGGATATTCTTGTTTGAGTTGGTTGACCTTGGAATAGAGCAGTTTCCCTTATTTGTCACTGGCTTGCAGATCACAGCACAGGTTTGAAAGCAGTATCTGCAGGTGACACCTGCCCTTCTGTGTGAAGGGGACAAAAGCTGCACAAAGCAAGAGGAGAAAGTGTCACCAGGCTGTGCTGCTGGCCTGCTGGTCAGTTTCTGTTCTGTTTGCTAGAGTTGCTTATCTATGGACAGTTGGCAAATACTATGTTGGTAAACTATGGAATCAAGTTACTGAGACCATCATGGGTATGTTTGGAAATGCCAAAGGTTCAAAGGATCTTCAGGTATCAGAAAAGATGGACTGATGGGATGATTTTATTTTTAATAGGCATTTCTTATGATCCAAATATCCAGTGTCAGTAATTTCACTTCTGGTGCCACAGGACAATGGGACCTTTTGGCTGGGCTACGGACAAGGCAAGTGCTGGTAGTTTTGCTGGATCTGGAAAGGAGAAGGAAAAGTGCTTCTTTGATCCTTTAGATCAAAGCTGATGGCAACCATTGATTTCATCAGGAAATTACTGCTACTCAGGAAGAATTCTAGGGTCGTTACTTCCCAGAAGCTCCTTTGCTGTAGAAGGAGTTGCATCATTTTACAGAATTTCTTGTGTTTAGGTTTCTGCTTTGCCTTCATTTATTCAGAGAGCGGGATAGTGAATGACTATCTCTGTTTTTCAGCAATGCAGTCATGCTGCCTCCTTGGCTGACTAGGAATGGGCAGGACACCTGAGCCTGCCTGTTATTGTCTGGGGCAGAGCTGAGGCAAGGAGCTGCCCACCTGGATGTTGGAGCTGGTTTGTGTTTGCAGCACAGTCCTCCTCGTGGCAGAGATTTCTAGTGCATACTCACACTGTCTGGTAGCATCAGTTAATTGCTTGTTACAAAGTAATTTCAGAGTGCTTAAAGATCACAATGTACTTGTTAATTTGATTCTTTGAATAGTTTAGGAGAGCTCAACTGTGCTGGAGTAATGCAAAAGCAATCTTACAAGATACCTGCTGCATGCATGCCTGCCAAAGGCAAGGGAAATCAATCAGTTTGTTGCCACCACTATTAATGTAGTCTGAGATGAAGTTTGACTTGAAAGATGAGAGGGAAATTAAGCATAACAGAATGATAATAGGATGATCAATGCTGTTTACTGCAGGCTTTGCATGTGCATTGAAAAGTAAGATATTTTGTCAATGCTGGCCAGAGATGTGTAAATAAGGTGGGAAGTCTTATCTGAGGTGCAAGGCTAAAGACAAGTGACTAGTATGGTAGAGTTAACATCGGTGCTTCATTAACAAAGCAAGAAAAACCAGGAGGATGAGATGATGTCCCAGACTTTCTCTTTCAAGAAAGTACAGATAATTCTGGTGGTTGCATTCCTTTTTCTCAGCATTTCAGATAGAATAATGGTTCTGTTTTCTCTCATACACATTGAGTGTAAAGAAGGAATTAGTGGAGAAGTAATTTTCCTCTAGCAGTTGAGTAGCCAGGGTTTGGTTCTAGGAACCTGTTGCCATAAAAACTCTTTCTGGTTATTAAAAGACTGCTCTCAATGGCAGTGAAGTCATCAGCTTGGCAAATTTTCTTTTCTATGGAATATTCTGTAGAAGGAGTTTCCATTCAGCAGCAAAACATATGCCTAGTATCACAGGCCTCTGATTCATCTAAAAGCCTCCTAAGTCACCAAAGTGTTCCTGAGTACTTACCAGGGGAGCAATAAATTTGTGTCTCTCCTTATGAATCCTGCACAGTCCATTGGGTTGCTCTCTGTAGCAGGCATCTTTGCAAAACTCTGTTCCCATGAGGGTAAACAGGACTTGGAATGTTTGATGGCTTATGGGATCTAGCATTTATTATTTATTCTACATGCTTCTATTGATGGTTGTTGCTAAAGAGATATCTTCATCCTTGTGGGTTCCAGGGCTTTATAGAATGTCAAGTACTAAGAAAATAATTAGGGAACATAATTGATTTCCCATCCTTCCACACAGGTAAGAGTTGCAGTGTTGCTCCAACTTTGTTATTTTCAGCATTCTGATTTGCTGCAAAGACTGAGGGATGAATTTCTGCACCTTGGCCTTTTATCACAGCCATCAAGGTCTTTATCACAGCATCTAACCCACTCTCTGAAATGTTCTTAACTACTTTCCTCAATAATACCAGATGATGAACCAGATAATGACGTTGCCATATCCCAATCATATGTTTTATAGTATCTTCTGGGGTCGAAATTTCATTATTTTAATCTTCCATTGACCACTGTATGAACTCTTTCAATTCACTGTGGCTTTTTTGCAAAATTACATTACCTAGAAGTGGCTTATATGAAATATTTTTTTAATATCGTCTAATAGTCAATAGCTTTTAAATAGAATATTTTGTTCTATAATGTCTTTTCCATGTAGTAAACTTTTATTTCTTGTCATTAATGTCAATTCAAACACTGTATTGTTTATCTTTTGTTTTTCACTTAACGTTAACCTCATGTTAAACCCATTCACATATCCAGCAGCACTTTGCTTTAAATCTGTGTAGATGCATAGTATAGAACTTTTAATTATTACATGGATATGCAGAGTGAATCAGAGCAGTCCTCTAATCCAGAATGACTGTGGCAGTCTGACCACCACCCGAACAATTTCATTTATGGTTTAGATTATGACAATCCCCACATCATTGTTGGTGCTCTGAAATTGGCATTCTTTGTCAAAACAGGAAGTTTTGAAGCAAACAGGAGAGAATTTAATTTATATTTGGGGAATCATTTGAATACAGAGGCCAGTCTTCAGTTTCAGAGGTCATTTGAGGTTTAAAAGCCTTGGATGAGGAGGAATTCTCTCAGAGTGCACTGCAGTGAATTAGGCATTCAGAGAGATACTCAGCCTTCAGCAAGGGCTTGTCACAAGGCTCTGCTCCATCAACGCCCTTCTTAGTTTCTGTTTTCAACCCCCTGAGAGTAATTTTCAGTCTCCCAGTATATGACTCTCTACTTCTTTGGCATTCATTGATTCAAAATTAGTATTGTTGGGGATTTTCTTCTTTTTCCCTTACTTCTGTGAAAGGTTATTCATAAGTATCAACATTTTGAAACTGGATGCCAACTGGATGAAACTTGAGCCAAAACTCTGGAGTGTTTTCAACAGGCATCTGGATTTGGCCAAACACATTATTTTAAATCTGAATTTAGATATTCATAGAACAGACATTAGATTTGAGCTTTAGAGCTTTGAATACATTTGAATCCTATTTTTTTAAGAGATAAAGGCTTTGTCTTCCTTCCTGGACATTTCAGTTGAGCCAATGCAGAGCAAGATCTGTTGTCATGCTCAGCATGATCTTGCCCTCACCAGGTGATGTCTTCTGGTAAGTTCTACGAAGAGGTAGAAATGAGACTCCCTGCAACACAGAGGCAAGAGTTCACCTTCTCTCCCAAAACAATCATGCCAATGTGCCCCTGCCTCACATCAACTGAGAAATTCAGTCTCTTATGTTTGTGAAGGGTGTGGGCTCCATACTTCTAATTTTTTGCATCCTTTCCCCTCTGGAAGTATCAAAGGTAGGTAATAAAAATCTCACAAAGCTGCTCAAACAATCTCATGTCTTTGAAATGAGCAAGAAACAAAGTGCAGCGGGAATCACACTAGGTAGATGACATGCTTTAGCTGAGCTGAGCCCTTGAAGAATTAGTCTGGTGATTATGGCAAAAATGCAGTTGAGTGTCTTTTAAAATCAGTTAATTTGAAATTAACTCACTTTCTTTGTCTAGTTAGTACAGTCCATTGTTCTGAATTTATGGCTCGGGTTGCTATCTGATGTTTAAAACAGCATTTCCCAGAGTGTCTCCCGATGAGTTTAATGTAATTTGAGACCCTTTCGTGCTTGAATGCTACAATTATGAGATTAGGAAGCAGAGTGGTTAAAATGACTTTCCTTTGCTAAAAAAAGATTATTGGTGGATAATTCTGAACTTTTCAAAAGAGGAAAAAAAAAAAAAAAAA